TGCAACAGAACGGAGTTCAGAGTCATTTTGCAGATGTTATTTTTTTTTTTAACATTGTCTAATTTAAAAGGAAAATATTTCAGATAATAACAACATATTTGAGGGGGAAAAAAGCATGAAAACCATTTCTGTTCCAAAAATTGCTGATATGAGAATTTATGAGGAAACAGCTCCTTTTATGAATAATTATTATTATTGTGTTTAAGAAATGGGCAAGATGCCTAGAAATTGAATGAAAGAATGAGCTATTAAATTGAAATATTAAATGAAATAACTGAATTAAAAGTGATCATGTAAACCCAGCAGTAAATGTTGGGAGCTGTAGCTGATTGAACATATTTTCATCATCTGTTTTGTATGCTTAAATACAATTGCTTGATGTAAGTAAACACTTGATTGATATTCTGAATACTTTAAAATCTGCATATGCATCATGGAATACTGAACAATTAAAACTTAATTTCAGTGTAGTTTGATTACATGTAAATTATTTCAATATTCATTTTTTCCTGTTCTGTTTGCTCAGTGCATATTTAATATCCACTTTTTGAATGCATATCACTCTTGATTGGACTGTGAGATGAGGAGGACTCTGAAATTTCTTCCATTAAAAAGGATTGCCTTATAAATATTATTTGTGCCAGAGCTCTTCCCCTGCAGATTATTTTCTAAATGTTGTGTACTCTTGTTGAAGACAAGGCAAAAGCTGCTGCAGCCCTCCTTTATCAGCCCAGCACAAGGAATATGCTTACATGGTCGATGAGCATGTCTAAGAAGGCTTGTTGGTTGTAACTAGTCCCTAAAGAAATGTTTCCATCTTTCCTGCACTATATTGCTTGCCTGCATGAGCTCCCTCTCCCTTCCCTTCCTCCTCCCTCCACGTGATTTTTATTTTATTTTCCTGGTTCTTGGAGGTCTTACAAGACACTTGAATATTATGGTTAAATATTACAAGTATTTTCAAGTTGACCATTTTCAGTCTGAAAAATGTATTTCTATCTTTAAGTGACCACATTCAATTTAGAAGTTGTGGAATACAGATGAAAATATTTTGCCTTTTTACATATTTGTAGAACATTTTCTAAAGACCAAAAAGACTTCTTGTCCCTTCTCTGCAGGCTGCAATCCATACACATTTTTTTGATCAACAATGTGTCAAATTACAGTATTTCTGAACATCCAACAGAAGGAAATCCCAGGTATTTGATTCTCTTATTATTTATGCCAGTGAACAGAATAGCCTTTCTGAAGTTACAGATAACATTATATTTTTTATTAGGTATATATTTTATTTAATTTTAAAATAAAATTATTTCCCAGCATCTTTTCAGTTAGGTCATATTCCCAAAATACAGGCAGGCAGCAGGTTTGTCATTTCACCATGGAAGGCAAGTCTGGATTCCTCTCTGCCTTCACCATTTTTGACCTACATACCTGTTGTTATATTAGTCCCATTTCCCTTGATTTCCTTGTCCATACTAACAGAAATTTTTATACTTTTTTAGAATGCATACAGAAATGCATATAATAACAGTATTCTTTAGTTATGTGAGAATTTGAAGTTAATGTTGTATCTACTAAATGGCTTGCAGGGAAGTGTTTTCCTGTGTGTCCTACATAGTTAATTGCAGTTTTAGAGTTCTAATCTTGTAGGTCGTATTTCTGTTGCCTGTCATTTTGACCAAACAAGTGGCTGAACTTCATGGTTTGCAGGTGGATTTCCTTATCTCTCTTTTTCAAGAGACATAAGTCTTGATTGCTGGAGTTATTGTGAACCAAGCAATAAGGGGCAAGGAGGAGGAGGGGATGAGAAGACACTGTTCAGCACCAGGGCCCTGGAGATTCCATTTTAGAGAGCAAATACTGTACCTGCTGACTGTAGCACAAGAACAAAAGGGGGAAGGTTTTACTTGGGGGGTATTTTGTTTGTTTGAGAAGCTGATAAACTGTTAAGTGAGTGTGCTCACAACAGTAAGAGGTCTTTCTAGGATAAAGCTTGCTTATAAAACAGACATTATTAGCTTGAGGTTGGTCTCATGCTCTATAGACCTCTCTCTAATGGTTTCCGTACATTAAAACCAACAAAACTGTCATAACAAAGGGTTTCAGAATAACAGTTATCTTCTTGTAAAGTTAGGATACTTTACAAATGCTGGATATTCCTTACTGATTTAATACTTTTGGCCTAAGTAAAGCAAAAAAACCCTTGTCACTCTTCTTTGTAACATCTGCCTTCTTTTAAAGCAATTCATTTTATAATAGTTCATGAAGTAACTGTGACTGTTATTTGCAACACTCTTGGTTTGTGAAGAGAATTTCTTAGATAGTCTTTTTTCCCCTCTTTTTTTTTTCCTTAGTACAGATCTGAAAATAATGAGTTAATGTCACACTTTTATGAATAGGGGCCATGAGACTGAAGTATGTATGTTGATTAAAGGAAAAATAATTGAAATCTTTGTGAAACTGCAAAGAAATTACAGCTTAAGGCCATGATTCTGTTCTGCAAGTCAATCAAATGAGAAAGTTATTTTATATTTTTTTGGTTGCAGGCATTTTTTCCTTGGCTAAAGCAAATGTCATTCAAATAGTCTATATAGTGATAACTTTGGAAATACAAAATTATGATATAGACATTCTTTTTAGCCAGTCATATTGCTGGTTTCTGTTCAGTTTCCCATTTCCCCTCTAAGTACTAAGAATGTATATTTAATCCATAATGGAAAAAAAAATGCTAGGAAAAAAATATAAGCATGATAGCTGTTCAAGACACACATATTTTAACATTTACTTATTTTTCCTAATTAAAGTATAGCTTCAAAAGCATCATTGCAAAACCATGTATTTTGATGAAAAATCTGTCATAGGAATGATGCTGAAAACTTCAGATACACAGACAGGCATGAGAAAGTGGGGGTGCACTGCCTGTTCCCTGGCGATCAAGAGGTTAACTTTAATTTACCTCTTCCCCTCCCTTAAACTGGTTCTGTGAGGAGGGCTGCAAATTAGTACTTGGAAGGCACAGCAGGGAGATTAGCTTTAGGGAGGGAAGGGCTCCCCACTCCAGCTCTTAGGAACCTCACCTGGAGAGTGCATTTCCTTTTTTACTTAAGCTAACATATTATGCCTTCTTGTCACGAATGTTATTCCTTGAGGAAAAGTCCTCTCTGGTTCTATCTTGCAATCTGATGAATCATTCCAAGTGTGTGGTAGAAGAGAGGAGAGAGATAAGGCTGTAACAGGAGGGAGCCAGGAAACCGCTGATGCCGTGGCCGGGAACAGGAATCCTGGTGTGGTGCATCATATGGGATTACTTTACCCAGCCAGGGGAAGCAGGATTCCCATCTTTCCTCTTGTTCACACTGGCCTGAGGAGGAGCTTCAGCACTGCCCGCTGTTTCCTATGGCACCAAGGTACAGAGCTGTACAAATTCTGGCATCCATGTGATGCTGTCTGACAATATTCATTTGACAAGCACAGCCTACACCTTTCTAACCCTGAGAAATCACAATGCTTTTTTTACCCACTGGAGCAAAGAAGTCATCTCCTTCCAAACCTCAAGTGTCTACAACTGATCCATTGTTGAAATTGTTAACAGGTGGAAAGGGAATTCTACCTACTTTGTAATGGAACAAATACAAAAGTGTTCTATGTGGAATCAATCTTCTACCTCCCAGCTGAAATAAAATTGGGGTATTTGCATTTCTAAGACTAATCACCAAACCTATTTTCATAGCTAATTTTAAACAGTTAAAAATGTGCAATAAAGGAAAATGTGTACAGATAGAATCACTTTCTCATAATACAATGTCACATAATGGTTATCTATGCCTAGTATTATAAGAGAGACATTAGCCCAATGAAGAATTTTCCATTGGGATTAGTATTTGCCAGTGCAATGTTGATTCAACCAGATCTGATGGGACTCAACACTGAACCACTTAGTGAAGGTTTTAAACAATGAAGAAGGTTAAGGGTAGCCACTGTCCTACCTCACAGTTCTGCAATCTGAGTATGAGCCTATCAAGTTTCCCCAATAACATCCTCAGAAAGCTTCTGAAGGATGGCTTGTGTCCTCCTGCTTCTGTGGAATTCCCCAGGATTGCACACAGGAGGATATACACACCCTTGCCCAGTCCCTCCATCCCTGTGAATGGGAATTTTTTAGTTACTGTAACTCCCAGGAGATGGTGTGTGGTGTCTGGGTAGGACCAAGGGGTCGATCTGTCACCACACATGGAAGGAGCTGTTGTTCAGCAAGGTCTCAGCCTGCCAAAGGAATGGTCCTCAAAGGTGAAGTTCCACCTTTGCTCCCTTCCTGCTCTACTGCATCTCTGGGTGATGCTCAGGTGGTGCCTTCTAGAGCATATCTAGAGGTAATTTTGCTCTTTTGCCCCTTATTTTGCTTCATTGATGCAATCTTTTTCACTGTAGAATCTCAGAAAACTCTCAGGAGTCTGTGCTAATGCTGGGCTAAGGTAGTTATGAGACAAAACAGTATCACCCCCTACTTCTTTTAGTCCCTGAGGATTCATGACTCAATTGGATTAGCATCTTCAGAGAGCTGTATCAAGGGGTCTGAAAGGACAAAACTCAGTGTAAACTTCTACAGGGACCTCTGAAGTAATGTGAAATTTGGGATTAGTATTTTCTGTAGAGGATTTTGAGGTTCCTACCAGCATTGCTGGGGATACTGTTTATCTGTGTTGTGGTTGCTATCTTTGTAAAGGATGGATTTGTTAGGATCTTCAGCTCCCTTCTGATTCAACCAATCTGATGGGGCTCAACACTGAACCACTTGATGAAGGTTTTAAGCAATTAAGAAGGTTAAGGGTAGTTGCTGTCCTACCTCACAGTTCTGCAATCTGAGTATGAGCCTATCAGGTTTCCCCAATAAAGCTTTGGCATCACTTTTGGTAAGCATTGAAGAACTTTGTCCATGAGCAAAATTTGATGCAGCTTAAGTTAACCTCAGCAAGCGACGTGTTTCCTTTTTCTTTCAGGTATCAGAGGTTTGAAAAAGCATTTCTGCTTGCTGTTGACATCGGTGCTCGGGACCTGTTCATGGTGAGTTGTTTCTGGAGACAGAGGCTGTCGGAGGATATTATTTGTCAGCTTTTGCACACATTAAAATAGTTCAGGTCGTTTGCAGCCTTGGACACATACTGAAGACTGAACTGTTCTACCTTTGCCATCCTGAAGCTCATCAGCAGGAATTTAGTATCTTCAGAGTCACTGACATTTTCCCCAGTGGGGCCTACAGGCTTTTCTTAACTTTCCAGGAATTATTGTACATGTTTTTAAACTTTCCCTTTCTTCATCTGACCTGATGTGGGTGAATGTCATCTTTCACTCTAATAAGCTTATACATTTCTAATTTGTTTCTTTAAGTCCAACTGCTGAGTCCTGGACACAAGAGCTGTCCATGTCCTGGGGATCCTGAATGCTCTTAGTTTGTCTCTTGGGGTTTTGTGAAAAGTGACAAATTATGAACGCTTCTGCTGGTACTTTTAAAACAACAAAGCTCAGCAGCATCAACACAAGGGTTTTAACATTTCATGCACACTCTGCCTCCTCCCATTTAATTAGCTACAAAAGTAAAATTAACCAGCTCTTAAAAGGTCCTCTGTGTGAGCACTGCAGGAGGTTCTTGTTTTATAAGATCTTGCACCACAATGTCACAGTGAGGTCAGATGGACAAAGCCAGTCGTGCTCTCCTAGTCTCTCAGCATGTTGCTGCTCCACAGCTGATTTCATTGTTTTCAAAGAAACAATAGGAAAGGGCTTGTTGAAAAAAAAGGCTCTTTGAACGATTCGTTTGCTTGACTCTTTTGCATAATGAAGACATTCTGTTGTTTAAATTAAGCTTTGACACTAGATGTTAATATCATTTATCCCATTAAGTCACTTGCCCTGCTAGTTTGATCTTGATATTTAAATTGTATGTTAAATTACACAATTAAATCCTGCTTTTAGGGGTTATGAAAATTCCCTTCTAATTATATAAAAAGTTGTGTGAACCTTTTGATGTTTTTTTCACGGCTCTAATCATCTGGCTTGTTCCATCTAATTAGAAAGATGTGAATACTGCGATAAACTTTCCTAAGTATGCATCAAAAGAATGTGATGGAAATGTCAGACTTTTAGGAAATTCATTACATGTTCTATGTTTACTCCTCTCGATTTTCTGTCTTTTTAGATCATCTCTTGCCTTTTCTCTCTTTATTGAATGTAACCTCTTCAATACAAATTTTATACCTAATCATGCTAAGCACTGCTGCAGCCACATATAAGATTCAGACTGTAGTATGTCTGGAGCAGATTAAAGCTTTTTGTCAAGGGCTCTCCCAGTGTACAGATAATAAATACTCCCTAATTTTAGCCATTCTGACAGAATAAATATCCCCAGCATTTGCATCAAAGGCCCTCTCTCATATGACTGAGAGCATTTTCTATGTGATCTGTTTCTCTTTCCTTCCCTCTGCTGACAGCAGGATTGAGGGAGCACCTCTGTGCCAGGGTGGGAAACACCAGTGTTGGGTGTTGAGATGGGTGCACAGCTGCTAGCAAGAGGGAGGGACTGTCAGTACCTGGCTCCACAGGTGATAGGTAACATGTTCTACTGTCACCAAAATGTCTCTCCAACTTTCTTCAAGAGGGGTTTCACTGTTCACAAAGCAATTAACTCCATCCTTTCCTACTCTTTCCCTTTCCTTTCCTCTCTCAACACCTACTCTTCATTTCCCATCCTACCAATGCCCTTAAACATAAATGTATATTTCTGAAAAGTTCCTCCTGGCTTATGTCATTGTGAGATCAAAACCAGTTCTTTAATGTCCTTGTTCTGCTTGCATTACCTTTGAAATTCCTCATAGTTGCCCCTAAATTATGCTACAAGCAGCACACATCTCTGCCTCCTCTGGGGAAATGTCCTTTTGCAATTCATCTTCTAAGTCAGTCGCTAATGAACAAACTTTACAATAAGCTAACAGTGGTACTGCTGCAAGTCCACAAAGTACAGGACTCAAGAAGTTTAAACATTCATAGGTCATTAAGAGTATTTATTTGTGCATGGTAATTTCTAGGGAATTTGGCTTCATTGTGCTTAATACCATGTGAAAATTAGATAACCTGTTCCCTGAAACCTTACAGTCCTTTTAGGTATTTGTATAACAATGCTACTGCTAAGTTAGGGTTGGGCATCCCTCACTTCTGCTTAATACTGAATGATTCCTATATATTGTTTATGTAGGGCAAAATGCAATTAGTAGTATACAATTTGATTTTGCATATATTTAAAGCAGTTTTATCCATTTTTAAAACCTCAGATAGCTCTCAGAGTCACATCACTTTATTCCAAATTAATTTAATGGGATTTCAAGAAGAAATAGTAGTCTAAATAAAGTTACCTGATGACATAAGCAAAATGAGAAAGATCTGTCAATTAAAGGAGAGTAGAGAAGGAACAAAAACGGAAAGGATAGAGAGAAATAGATACAACAGAGGTTGAGGAGGATGCAAACATTGAGTACCCATCACCTGAGACTCCTAAGAAAATGTCCTATATCTTAGAGAATTTACCCTGAGCATCAATTTCACCAAACAGGGCTCTACAGCATTCCTATTATTTGTTTTGAGACTGCAAAGAAGTTTGAGAGAATGCTATCTGAGGGCTAATTTCTTTCAAAGAAATGAAAAAGAAAAAACAAAAAAGGCTTACAACTTAGCTATAGTGTCACTAGATGAGGCCGTAGCAAGACACATACACTGCTGTGTCTCTCCTTGAGCTTTACTCTTGTGTCACATCCAAGTCCATCAATTAATATAATCTCCTACAAAGTTAAAAAAAAAAAACAACTGAAAAGGACATAATATTAAGAACAACAGCTCCGTGTATTGGACAGTGACTGATCCAATCTGTGACAGAAAAGATCAAGCAGTGGAAAGGTTGTTAGCTTGAAATGCTTTTGTAGTGCAGTCCAGCTCTCAGCTGCTGAAAATTCAAAAGGCCATCCCATGTACCAAAGGTAACAAAAAATGCAAGGAAAAGACACTTTAATAAAACTGTCAGATCTTGGGTGATACACTGATGAGGAAAGTGCATGCTTCGAAGAAATGTTGGAGTGTTGCCCAGAAATATCCTATAGACAGTGAACATCATGTTTCAAATGACTTCTGCTCACCAGTGGCCAGCTCTGTGAGTCACAAAGGTGAGGGGGAAAGGGAAGTAGTCCAAAAAGTAAGCAAACTGTTAAATGATAAAATAGAGCCCTTTCAACAAGCTCCTGATAAGCAGCTGGAATTTGTTTTTATTGTCACCACTGTGTTTGAGAGAGATGTGATCTTTGGACTTACAAATTCTTAGGTAATTGTGTGAAAAAATCCTTCATGAATATTCAGATAATTTAATTCCTTTTTCTCCTGTCATTCTTTAAAGCAGCCTGTAATCTGGTGCTTCTTTTTTTTGTTGTTGTTTTTCAGTTTTCTGGTTTAATCTACTCAGAGACTTATAAATTCTTAGAAAAATCTACTTATGCTGGTTTATTTGAATGAGAAACACCTAAATTAGATCTGAAATGAAAATGATCTAATTAGGATGTTTCATATCTGTAATCTTTTCTTTCTAAAGCTGGTTTAGAGATGAGGCAAAGGCTACTGTTTTATTGTTCTTCATGACCAGCAACTTGAGGAACCACAAAGCAAGCCACTTACCAACCTACTGCAAACCTTTATTTCTTACAAGGCCCCTGTTAGTTAATGATGGATGTCTAACACCTTTACATTTTTTTACTCAAACCAGAAAATGGGCAAAACCAAGGCCTGAAATAACAGCTGCTTTGATACACAGAGTGCACAAACTCTTCACTGACAAAACATCATTTTCTGCAGTTGTTTCTACTCCATCCTCAAGCTTACTATTTGAAATTGCACAGAGGTATACAATACTTCTCATAGTTTCAGATACAAAAAGACAATCCTTAAATATTGTCAGAATGTATTTTAAGTAAGTCTGCCTGTACATCCAAATTTCTGTAAGTTCAGACTTGTCCAAGAGCCCCTGGGTCTTCTATTGTTATCTAAATAAGGTGACAGTATCTGCTGTTTAATCTTCATAGAAATCATACCTTGCTGCTCAGGCCTTTTTCTCCTGACAACCAAGTTAGACCTACAAAGAGAGGAAATACAGAGTTCACCACAAGTTCATAACCCATTACTCTGCTCCAAGACATTTGCACATTTTTTTAGTCACACCTGTGTTTGTGATGAGAAGACACTGCTGTCTCCTGCAGACTCTGCAGATCCTGCAAGTCAGTTCCAGGCTTTCCTGCATAATCATCTCAGTTTCTCTAAGATTTTCAGTTTTGTTTTAAAGTTCTTGTTCTTGTTGTTAAATGAGGGGTTACTGAGAGCAGCATGTCCTTCTCCTAACACTATTACTCTCACTTTTTTCATCTAAACGTGTCTTTCTACAGTAAAGTCACTTTTCCTGTAAGAGTTTCTGTCATATTGATGCAGGTGGCAGTAAACTCACATCCCAAAGAATGGTTTCACCCAAGATCTTCTACATTAGGGAAAACATAGTTGCTTTTATGGCATGCAGAGGTCAATATTTCCAGCAAACACTCCTTTCTCCTTTTAATTCCAGCAAGCAGATGGCTTGCAGAACAAAGGAATAACTTAAATCTTTGGATGTCAAATGGCATCTTCAGCAAAGTAGTGGGGGAAAAAACTTTGCCAACAGTTCTTGGATTTTTCTCACTTTCTGTGTCACAGTTCATGCACAAAGCAGCATGTGTCTGTGATGCCAGATGAGAAGGGGATTAATTGTCTCTTGATCAATGGTCAAGAATAAACTTTTACTTTTTGAGGACCAAAACCAAGGGCAGTGAGAGTGTAGTTTGTCTGTAGGAATATATTCTCCCACAAAGAGCGCTGTATGTAGTACAGGTGGTTTTCACCTCAAATATTAATATGCAATGAAAAGCCTTGACTTTTGATAAGGGCATCCAGTGATGGGACTAGGAGAAATGGCTTTAAACTGGCAGAGGGCAGGTATAGGTTGGATATTTGGAAGAAATTCTTTCCTATGAGGGTGGTGAGGACCTGGAACAGAAGTCACCCAGAGAAGCTGTGGCTGCCCCATCCATGGAAGTGCTTAAGGCCAGGTTGAATGGGGCTGGGAGCAACCTGGCCTAGTGGAAGGGCAGGTTGTCCCTGCTCAGGGCAGGGAGCTGGAACAAGTTGATCTCTAAGGTCCCTTCCAACCCAAGCCTTTCTATAATTCTGTGTAATGATAACACTCCTGCTGCAGCCCTCTGTTTTTGACTCTAGATAAAAGACTAGATCCAGAGTATTAGCAACTATTCATGCTAGACAACATTTTTGGAAAGCCCCTTGTTGTTCAGGAGTGACTCAGGAATCATGCCAACCCTGTGGATGTTAAAACCACTGAGCAGGCACTGTTGTTCTTATTACCTCCACTATCAGCACAGGGAGGACCATCACCCACTTACTCCCAGAACAGTGAGGGTAACAACCTTCAACAGTGAGTGTATGACAACATTCCAACAAAAATTTGTCCTTAAAAGATGGAAACCTTCAAATCATAAAATCATTAAGGTTGGAAAAGGCCTCAAAGGTCATTGAGTCCAACTGTTAACCCATTACTAATAGGCCCACCACTAGCCCATGCCTCTAAGCACCACATCTGCATTTAGCATGCTCCAAATAGAGGCTGTCAGCCAGGAGAGTTCCAATCCTTCAGATCTGGTTTACACAGAGCCACCTCCTATCAACGTTCTTTTGATTCAACAGAAGTTATGTTAAAAGTCAACAGATTGGTTTCTTTCATACACTGAGTCAATAGCTTTGCTTTTATCAGTGCCTGATTGGTCAGTGTTTTATTCATTGCTGTATTCAACAGCACAAGTAAGGAAATATATTTGCGTTGGAGGGAATTAAAATGTAATGGTAGGTTCATCAGTTCCATCTGTGTTTGTGATCTAAATAATAAAAGAACCTCTTTCTTTCAAAATCCCTTTTGTTGCTCCTTTGAGATTCATTTTAGATTAATCTTTTTTCTTCTTTATTTCCAAAGGACATCCATTACCTTGCTCTAGATAAGGGTGAATTGGCACTAGCTGAAGTGGCAAAGAGAAAGGCTAATGACATTGATGCAGAATCAATAACTACTGGAATTGGTAAGAATTAATGGTGTCTAAAAAGCCCTTTTGTTTTAATCAATACTTGTCCTGTAGAACATGTTGTTATATTTGTAGAGGGGTTATTGTTTTGATTGCATTGTTTTCTTTGAAAGTGAGACCAGATTTTCATTTGTGACTAAAGAACAGTATTTTTATTCCTAACTAAAGAAGGGAGGTTATAAAAATCACACAGCTTTGCCTTTCAGTACCCATGTGAGGATAGCTATGAAGCAAAAAGATTTATGCTGTGGCTATATAGAAAAGTTCAGGCTATACAAACTGAACTGAGTGCAAAAGGTAAAGGACTGAATGTGGAAATCTTTGTTCATATCAACATTTAAGGCCAGGTATGGCAATTTGACTCACCTCTAAATATTTGCTGGTGTGCACTGGAGCCACATCCAGCATTGATAATTTGGCAGCACTCGAATGGAACATTTACTGATGTGAGCACAGCTTCACATCCTGGCTTTAAAGCATCAGCTTTGCATGCAGTGGGATTCTTGCCATTCCATAAGGAATAGCAATGCTAAAGTTGCAGTGTGAGATTAACAGCTGAAACACAGATGACTTTTCATGCAGAGGAGCTCACAACTCATTCACTTTCTCCTTGTGTTTCTTCTGAATTGACATGAAGAGATGTATGCAAGCACATGAGACCATTCTGATTTCATGCCTTATAGCATGAACCAAGAAGGTGTCTCTGTCTAGGGAGCTGACCTTCACTGGAAGCAAAGGGAAGAAGACCCACAAAGCCTAAAAACGTTTGTATAAAATTTGCACAGTTCTGTTTTTGCTTATTCTACTGCATCATTAGACGAAAGCACTGAGCTTTTGTGTTTATCCCATGCCAAGAAGTAGAATAGGATTAAAGCTCAGAAGGTTTTTTTGTGAGTCAGTTACAAAACCTTTGAGATCATGGGATCTTGAGTAACATGGGATTCTTTTAGAACTGTACATCACCCTGTTTACCCAGAGCATACAAGGGAATGCCACTCCAGTACCTAGAAATGCAGAGAGTTCATATATGCATTTATGTGCCTGTTTCTGTAGATTGTATAAATCCATTACTTTCAAGGCTATTGCAATACAGTAGCACATCCTTCCCTCTCTAGCAGAGTAGGAATCAAGTGGTGCCTCTCCTGAACTCTTCAGAGTCTTTTGTTTTCATGCTCAAGTCACTTAAAGCTATTTTTCCACCATAACTGGGCTTTTGGGCAAGCCCTTTCACCACTAGAGTTCAAACTAGAGTTTGAAAAAAACCTGACCTGTTTAGGTCATCCCTTAATCGACACTTTAAAGTGTACAGTTATCTCCTCTTCTCTTCTCTTCTCTTCTCTTCTCTTCTCTTCTCTTCTCTTCTCTTCTCTTCTCTTCTCTTCTCTTCTCTTCTCTTCCTTCTTAGGTTCTTATTTGCTTCACCAAGTATAACTGAGATACCCAGGACTTGCATCTGATCATTATCTATTCTTTGACACTTAATCCAGAAAATTTAAACTCTAATCTGTATCTTCATTTAATTCCTTGCAAGCTACCATGATTAGTAGATTTCTGAAGTTGGGCTATTTATAAATTTAGTGAGAGCCTTTTGTAGCATTGTAGATGCACATGCAGGCAGAGGGGTAGGGAAAAGAACAGAGGTGATCACAGATGCCTTCCTTGCCTATCAAATGCCATACACATGTAACTACAATTCAGCAGTAAATGTGCAGGCACAAAGTCTTCACCTCCTCCAGACCAGTCCTACAGTTACGTCTGCAATGCCCCATTAGCATAAATTATTAAAGTCATTTTATATGATAAAGACTTTTGCTGAATAATTAACTATCAGGATGATTTAAAGTACTTTTCAATGCCCCCAGGGACAAACTGTCACTGAGATTCATTCTCTAAACAGTAATGAATTTGCATCCAATTCATTTTGTATGAAAATAAACAGGAATCTCCCATGAGTTTGTTTCACTGCAGATTCAATCTCACCTTAAACATGTGAAATCTCAGCCACAGGTTTTGTTTTGTTATACTTTAATGCAATGTCCCTTCTAATGATGTTTATATTTCATAAACTGTTGTTGGCAAAAAAGTTGAAGTATGAACTTCGCGGACCCAATGAAAACAAATGATGAGTGCTTTATATGTAAATTGCTGTATCTTTCTAATACTTTGAGGGGGAGAAAAAGCCCGTCCCAGAGCCAGAAGTTTTGAAATGCAGTTTCAAACAAGTCTGTGTCCTTGACCTCTTCTCAAACCCAGACCTCTTCAGCTGGTCCCTGCTCTGTGGAGCTGGCAGCCACTCAGTTCACCAATGGTCACACTTCTCCCCAAACTTCTTGAACACCCACTTCAGGCTTTTACAAAGAGACAGTAACCTAAGCAGCAAGGTGCAACCAGTGCTATTGAGCTTATACTGCACACATCTACAGCTTATTTCTTATATAGATATAGATATAGATATAGATATAGATATAGATATAGATATAGATATATAAAGTGAACCATTGTCATATGTCAATATCTGATGAAATTTCCTGAGCTAGCCCATCCCCAAACCTCAGCTCAGCACTGCTTGAAAATAAGATGAGTCATTGCTTCTGGCTGATTCCCAAGCCTTTGAGAGTGCTCCATCTTGCCCCAGATATATTTAATTTGTCAAGATATTTCTGTGTACAGGGCTCACTTCAAGCATAATGTATTTCAAACTCAGAGTTCCAGGAAAAGTTTCAAGCTCCTACAAATAATGCAGTATGACAATATAATTAAAATTTATAGATGTTATCCAGAGTTCTATAAGCGTGGATTCCTCACATATGTTATACCAATATTTGTGTCAAGATAAAACTAAAAATAGGCTGATTATTTTAAAGTTTTCTGAATTTTGGCTCTTCTCAGTTCATCATCACGTGATTGCAGTTTGCTGGACACTCTTTTGAAGAGGCCACCTTCAAAGCTGAGGAGCTAAGGAGGTCTGTGGGTACCTGGTAAAAACATCTGTAGACCTGCAGAGCACAGTAGTTTGGTGAGAATATTGTTGAGCAAAATGAAGTGTTAGGTGAACTATGATTTTGGCAGAATCATATCTTTTGTTCATCTGATTAAAATCTTCTGAGGATCAGTATTCTCATAAGATTTTATGTTTGACAGCCTGTGAAAATGCATCTTGAGGGATGAGAAGATTGAAGTAATGGCACTGTACATTTCAGAAATGGCATTAGGTATCTTCTCTTTCCCCCCCTTATTTGGTCAGCAGACCACTGGCCATGGATTCTGTGGTTTCTTCTTCCAAAGATTTTCTGTTGAACTATTTCTGTAGTAGATCCACAAGTTCCTTAATGAGGTCAGGGAGTTCTCATTTAGCCTTGCCTAAAATGTATGCTGTGCACCTCATTTCACTTGATTAAAAGAAAGAATAAATAATTTATTCAATATTGGCATATATGTAGGTTACTAATAAATTCTGTTTATGAGCGTAACCTGGCATGTACTCTCCTGGAACAGTATTTTCTGTGGTGGGAGAGTGAGTCTGTTTGGTGCTGTAAAGTGTGGGTTGCTAATGTAAAACCTGAGTTGCAAAGAACTGACATGGCAGAGCCTGTTAAGAAATGCCATAGCTAATAATGATCATGGACGTGAGGAGCTCAGCCCTTCAGACATCATTGCTCAATGAATATCCAACAAAGAGCATATGTAGGCAGTGTCAGAAAGTTTCCCAAGGCCAACTTCCAACAAATTACATTAGGGCCTAGCAAGGTGATTTTAACCTTCAAATCAACAGCTTTCACCCAAAAGGGATTCATGTTGTGACAAGACAGATAACTGCTGCATAGTTGAAAGGCAAATTAGAAAACCTTGTATTTCTACTTAGAATTTCAGAATATTAGTAACTAATGTTTAGGCAACATTTCTAACAGAGGTATCTTAACAAAAACACTGATGTTCAGATAATTGCATTGTTCTGAAATGCTAGATAGGACTGACTAAGATTTTGGTGGTTCACTAATATCTCATGAAAGCGCTTGAGGTTTTTCCATTTAAAATAGAATTTTAAAATATTTCTGGAAGTATTCCATACTGTTTGCAAGATAGGGAATCTTATCAGTTCTCACAGAGACTGATGGCTAATTTCCCACAGTGTTTGTAAAATGACATTTAAAATGTAGGGACCCTAAATGTTTCACCTTACTGGCAAGGAACATCTCCAGTTTGAACCCTAAGTGGAGAATTAATTAATTTTATCTTAGTTCTGTGGTAGTGTTTTATATTGAATGGCTTACATGTTCTTTGTGATAATTAATAATGACACATCCTACGGTGTTTTGTCTGAGGTACCAGTCTAGTCTTGCATTACAGTCTACTACCTCCAAATCACTTATCATTTACTCAGATCCTCCCCTCTTCCTGACACTCCTGGGGAGCCTGCTTGCATTTCAAGACCATGTTTAGAATTGTCCCCGTGTGTTTGTAACCTTCTCTGGCCTTGCATTAGCCTAGTTGGTAACATTTCCTTCTCCTCTGATCCATAATGACTCCTTTCATCTCTCAAGTACTATTCTTCCTCACCCTCACATACCCTCTCTGACACTGATGGTAAAGCCTTCTTCATTTCCTGCTCTTCCTTGGCACGTGCAGCTTTCTCTTGTCATCCATCAAGTTTCAAGTTAACTGAGAATCTTGGCCTTTATTTAATGACTTTCATTTTACTTCATGCTTCAAATATATTGTTCCAGACACAGGTGAGCTGTGATCTGGGAGGGCTCGGGGGACACCTATTCATACTACAGTTTTTTGGAGTCTGCCCCCTTCAGTGTAAGTGCTAGATCTCCTATTTATTTGTTTCTGTTTTCAGTTTAAGTCAGTCAAAACCTCTGGAATCAAACTCTTTGCTTTTATTTTTCTAATAATGTAACTTTTTCCCTAGAGAGCCAGAAAAACATTTTTAATGAAAAATGCTTTCTAAGTATGATTGGCAGCTCACCTATGGCAAGAAATTAGTTTCCACA